GCATGCAGAGAGGGAAAGTAAACGTGGAGTTAATGAGATGACAGAGGCTCTACCAACAATGTTATTAATACTTCATTTAAAAATAACAAAAACAACTCAGTGAGGTGTGGCTCATTTTATTTATTGCTATGGTGAACATTTACTTTATGATTTATGACAATATTGTAGTTTTGAATTTAAATCTGATCAACACAAGTCACTGTATCTTTGTCCCTGTTTAGAGTTCAAGTTTGATGATGTAACAATAAATCAGATTTTACAGTTTCTCCAACGAAACAAACATCCTCCGAACACTGAAGGGTTTTGTTCAGTTTCTAATTGCTGGGGCCGAGCAGAGTACCAGTCTGAATAGTCGTTTGTAGTGAACCAGATAGTTGATTTGTTTTAAACTGTTTGAATTTTGAGCATTATTGTTGGCAAAAACCTGGGAAATTATGAAAAAAAATGTGTGCAAAAACAAAGCAAATCACAGAAGAAATTAAGAGTAAACAGATGTTTCCTACGTTATAGATTATGAGTTTGAACTTGGAGCTGGTGGAGTTATCTTTCCTGTGACCACAGAAATCTGGTGGATAGATGAACTAAAGATGCAAAGCTGAGCCAGGTTTTATTTATAAAGCACCTTAAAAACAGTCACAATTATATATAAGAATTTTTTTTTTTTTTAAAGTGCAAGACACAAAAACATGGATTGACACAATAAAAGAAACATTTCACACTTGGTCAAACGCCACACAGAAAAAGTGGGTCTTCCAAGCAGATTTAAAAATGCCTTTGCATGCACACTAAGCCTACGTGTTTATTCTGGTTTCTTTTAATACTAAACTACTGTAAACTGCTTTTCTCTCCCTCAGCTGGTGTCTCTGCAGCAGCAGTGATATTTTCAGTCTGTATTGGGCGTAACAGTTTCATATCTTTACTACAGCATAATTTTATCATCCATTCTGCTGCCAGTAAACTTCATTTGTGTGATTGGGTTAACTTAGCAATCTGATAACCAGCACTGTGCGCCTGTTCCCGCTGACTGTTGATGTTGCACTAAAGCAAGCCTATTCAAATGGCGGCCCGCGGGCCAAATGC